ATAATTAGCAGTTAGTAGCTTATTAAAAGGATGGCAAAGGCCAAGCTGCCATCTGGGATCTCCAGTTTCTTGTGATTGTTATTATGTCAAGATGTGCAAGTTGCATTAGCTTTCATGTCACTGTGCTTGCCCTTACTTTACATGTAAATTTTAATGAAAGATACAGCACTTTAAAAATCAGACGTCCATCAAAAGAGCTATTAGTCTGGCTTTTACAAAGCATATGGCCTGTTTCTCTACCTCTGCATCTCTACACACCACTGAATGCTGCAAATTAAAAAAAAAGAGAGAGGGGGAGAGAGACACACAGAGAAAGGGAGAGAAAGCCTTTCAATGGTATCAATTAAATATTCTCTTTGTGCAGAGTGAAACCAGAGCCCCCATCAAAAACAGCAGACTACAATACCACATAAGAGGACAATATTTCTGCTGCTGTTTACACACAACACAACCATGATGCTTTTAACTCTCAAAGGAATCATTCTTCTTAATGAAAATTAAAGCCAGTCAAGAGTCAGCTGTTTATTCACATATAAAAAAGACAGTTTTAAGATGAGACAAAAAGGCTGTAGATAATATATTGAAATAACCTATAAATTACAGAACACTAGATGTATTACTATATATTTTGCATGTGTATATTATCTATACATGCTGCTTATGCATGTGTTCTTATGCAAAAATGATATTTGTTGTTAATTTCACCTTGTAGCATCCCATTTGTCTGGACTTATAAATAGACTGGAGAGGGAGAAAAAGTAGGAATTTTTTACATTTTTGCAAAATATCTCTCTTTTTTAAATTGGTCATAGTTCAAAGTTTTGATGGATGTTTTTACCAAAATTCTGAAATGCAGAACATTTCTACCAGCATTATAATTAAAACAAAAAAAAATCAAATGAATGTTTTGAAAAAAAATTGTCCTGCTTCTTTCTTCAAAATCTAAAATCTAGAATATGTCCATCATTTCTAATACTATATGAAGGAATTAGATACAAGTTGTAATACTGTCTTTTAATAGGTACAATATGAAATCTGCAGCATCAGTTTTGATTATTAAAAGATGATTTAGTCAGAAGTAAATCTATGTTCAAGCATCTCTGGTTCTATTCTACGATTTTTATGGATTGGACATTTACAAATCATAAAACAACATTTTTCATTTCTTTAAACGAACATTGAAAGGAAGTAAATCATCAGTCGTCAGCCTCCCAACCAAGACATTTATTTTTATTTTTAGGGGAGAAAAACAAATTAAACTGGCTCTCAAAACATAAGAGAAAAAATTAAACAGCAGAAAGCCAGAAAATGGAACATTCACTTTTAAAGCACAAATGCTTCAGACAGTTTATAGGACAAATCAACTGCTTAAGAGATACAAACAAAGTTGGCAATAAATCTAAGGGTGTCTTTTTCCCTTTATGACTACATATTTATAAAGCACCAGTGAGTTTATTTTCATAATTATTTACTGGTATTTCACTTAAGCATTTGCAAAAACCCTTGATTATTCAGCTGAACTTATTCACCTGGTTCTTAAATCTCAGTAATGCTACTTGTAAAGAGGAACAAGGAAATCATTTAGCAGGCCAGCAATTCAAGTCCAGTATTTTTTTTTATCTCTGAATTCATAAAAGGAGGACAATTTTTCTGTGCCATCACCTCCTATTCAACATTATTAGCAGTTTAAAAAATAAATAAAAAACCTGTCCTGCCCAGTAAGAACAGGTACAGTATTGGAAAACTTAAACTTACCAGAATCAAACCTAGTTTGGACTAAGAAGCCAACCAGACTTTGATACTCCAAGGGCTACCCAGAAAATTTGCTGGCAGCCTTTGGGCAAGTACTAAACATTTAAAAAAATAAAATATCCACCCACATATTATAAAAATACTTGAGCGTTCATCTTCCCCTCATGATGGCAAGAAACTTGTAGGTTGAGGTTAGACAGTAATAAAATCCTGGTACTGTTCAATTTTTCACCTTGACATTTGACATCACAGTTATTGATGAAGGAGAGCAGAAAGAACAGAGACTGTATTTTTGGACATTTAGGACTGTGGATTATACGTGGCATTTTGAGCACTGGTGCATTAAAGGACAGGCGTAGAAACCAGTTACTTTCTCACTTTTGTACTTAAATTTAAAAGTATTTGGGTGCTTTTCAACGCACTGAGTAAAAACTTGGCCCTACTGAAGTGAATGGTCAGTATGCTACTAACTTTAGTAGGACCAAGATTTCACCAACTGCTCAAAATCATTCCTGACAGAACTCTATTGGAATCCCAGTACTGAATTTGGCCTATTTTTTTTGAAGACGCCAATTTCAACAAAAAGCTAAAGTCAAAGCGAGAACAAAGATAAAACAAAAAAAATTGCAAGAAGCAGGGACTATATAATGAAATATAGCAAGAAGGCCAATTATCATTTACTAAATCAAAGTCTGTCAAGAGGACAAATGATACAGAAGAACGTGACTACACATTAACTCCAGCTCAACAGCAAATTAAGTTGGGTATATAATGATCTATATTACTGTCATACGTTTGTTAGGGAGTGTTAGGGAAACACACTCAATATAACTGTTCTTTAATTCACAGGTTACTCACCCATAAGAAAGGCTGGGCACTACAACTGAGGCAAAAATAAATAAATATCCTACCCACTCCTCCCTGAATGTGATAGCCATACATTAACTTTAGCACTATGACTGTTTTTCATTTTCAAATATCCAATGTAACCAAACCTGTGGATCTACCCAGCTTCTAAAACCACAGGAGTATACAGTGCATAAATGCCCTTTTGCCCCTTCCCTGTATTTTGGCTGCTGCTGCCACTCACCATGAAAATACCTGTGCTTGATTTTCTTCATATTTCTTTCCAAAAATGCACTAAAAAAGCCCCTCATACTTTGAGAGAGACAGAAGAAATATATTTACTACTAAAAGAAGCAATAAATGCGAGATGTGGGATTTGGTTTTTCTCAGTAGTGAAGGAAGGGTCATGGACTGAAGCTGTTTTATGAACCAAATAAACCATGCAACCTTTGCCTTTGTATATGGTATGTGACAAAGCAACTGCCACTCTTTACTAAAAAGCACAACAAAAATGCAAAGAAATAAGGACCTTCCATGAGCAACTACCATGGCATTCTGAACTGCCTTTTCTGTAGGCAGCAAATATGTACACGTGTGAGTACACAGCTGAGCCCTTTTAAAGAGAAGTCATTTCTTGAACAGAACAATGGCCTCCTACGTAGCCATTCACCATAACTGGACCTGCTTTTTGGACATTGCTAGGGATTGAAACAACTTGCCATTTTTATTCCACTTCACTGTAAACTTGCACTACAAGTGAATTTCCAGTAGGGCCTCATTCCCATAGACTTACTACAACAAAACTCTTTGGCCCTATGAGCCTGATCTACACTACAAAATATTATTACCTCTGAAAGAATAATTGGTTAAGATAAACAGAGGGTAATCTTGATCCTAAACAAGATTTTCCCTGGTCCACACTGACTGCTCAGGTGCAGCAAGGTGTCAGTTAAGTCAATTACTGCAAACATATTCAGTCACCGTGATATTTTGGACTGTATACCTTGAATTTCTGCTTTCCATAGTACCTTACATGGCAATATGGTCTGCACCTCCCCTGAACACACATGTCATAGGCCATACCTTGAATGGCACTTCAGAAGAAAGTGGACTGCTGCAACCACTGGGGTTTTTTTAAGCATCAGCCAGAACACAAAAGTTCTAACTCAATCAGCAGTTTTATTAAATCACTGGGAGATCCATAAATATGAATACATACAAGAAACACAGGTTGCAGTGCAAAGGATCAGTACAGATAGAGACACATTAATAAACCAAGTGCCCCTGTGGAGATCAGAACTCATGGGAAGAAGGATAACTATCAGAAACCATTTGTGGATCGAAGGAGGGCTCACTGTGAGCATATCCCCTGACCCCTTGCACTCTTCCAAATACTCTGTTACCATCAGATACTTGAGGCCCAGTTGTTCACAAGCCCTGAAACACATGAGCTCCTCTGTTCCAAACAATCCTGCTCAACAGGTCAGATTAGCAAGTAGGGTATTTGTTGGGTAGTAGCTAAAACTCAGGACAATACAGCCTGTTAATCTGTCTGTCAGCGTGCTTAATTTTATTCAAGCAAGGGTTCACAATTTATCAATTAATTTTCCTCTCCCTTTTCTCTCCCCTTCCAAATATCTAATCCAATTGGTGACCCACAGCAAGTTCACAGAGGTTTGCTTTTTTGACAGTTTTGATTAGGGACGGTTGACTGCCCTGCCTGCGTGCTAGCAATAAGTGTGAACTGCTGAACTGCAAGTTGGAGACACACGTCAACCTAACCACTTCACTTGCTCTGCTTTAATGAGCTGAAAAAGAAATGGACCCACTACATTTAGCAGTGCCAATTTTTCTCTCATCTCCCATGCAGATCCAACCATCTCAGTGGCCCTTTGTTTAAAACAGGACTTTAAAAAAAGAGAGGAGAGCACATGAACAAAGAAAAGAAACCACATATTTCTACCTGAGCTAAAAGTTGGTGACGGGCATATCCCGCTACCGCTGAAGTCAAGGATAGCATTCCCAGCAATGGGACCATTTCAGTGGGGCAGAGATCCCAATTTGTCACTCAACCAGCCCCTTCTGGTTTTTGCCTGCATGTATCTGATGGTCACAGTTTACTCTGGTTTCTTAAATTTCACAGCATTTGCCACTCTGTACAACACATGCCTCAGTTTACACAGCAACAAGGCATAGAGTTGAGGTGCTAACGTTAATAAATAGCCAGTTATCATCCTATATGGACTGAGGAGACTTTTTTCTTTTTTTTCTTTTTCCTTTTTTCTTTGCTAAAGGCATTAAACTCCAATATGAACACCATTCATTAAAATTAATTTTACCCCTAACGCATTAACATTTTAAAAACAGATCAGTATTCAGAATGAAAAGAAAGCAATCTCTACCTTTACTTCTACCTAGAGACAGGAAGTTGTGCAGCCATTTAAGTGAAGGTGCAGAAGGGAATCCACCATGGAGGAGGCAAGAAAGAAGAGCAAGAAGAAGGATAAAAAAAAATCAGGTCACTAGGCACACACACGTGCACAAATCACAGGAGCACAAAAACATGTTTGACACAAAAGCAACATCACACAACAAATCACCGTGTGCAACATAAATGGAAACACCACAGCTAAGGAACAAAGAAAAGCTTAGGCAGTGGACAGGATGACTAGCCAATGTCTGCTTAAGCCCTCATCTTTACTTTGATTTTTGATAGAGAAATGCAAACTGCTCATGCAATAGCACTTCAACAATCCACATCACACCACATCAAATCCCAAACAACAGATTAGAAGAGGATAAAAACATCTTGCAGAAATATATCTGCTAAATATATTCCGCCTACCAACCCTAATATGTTTGTATAGAACACTGACACCACATAGAATATATATTTATACACATACATACATTTACATATCTTATGCATATCCCACACATAAAAAGTAAACATTCATCAAAGTGGAGTAATATGGAGGCAACTGGCAAGGATAGGCCTTGGGGTGAAATGAACCAGTGGCAGTGGCTTGAGATACAGAAGGCAACAGACTTTAAAACTATTCAACCAGGCAAGTGGTTGTGGACAGGATTGGTGCAAACTAGTTTGGGGCATTTTGCTCTCCACATACAAACCAGGTTGCAACTTGCCATGTTAAGTACCAGTTGCTTTCCTTCATGTAACTGAGTAGCAGGAGTCATGCACCGGCATACTGGGTGCAAGCCAGGACGGAGAAGCCCCAGCCTGGCAGGAGGCAAGGCAGGGGGCGCAGCCCTGGGCTCCAAGTGGTGGCATCAGGTTTCAGAGGGACTAGCAGGAGCTGGTTTAGATGGTGACATTTTACTGTGGAGCTAATTAGTCAACTCCACAGTTAAAGCACACATGTAGATGTACTCACTGGTACCAAATGGGGCCACAAAGGTTTGATATACTGGCAATTCCCAAGAAGTGTCACTCCCCTCTCTTGACCTCCTATCATATTCAGCTTTTAGGCGTCTGATTTAAAACCAGGAACCAAGACATGCCAAGGGCACTATTTCTTTCATTTACTTTATTAATAGCATATGAATATCTCAGAGCATGAAGGCCAGCTGAGCAGTAAATAGGACCAAAAAATCAAGTGAAGTGCCCCCCGGAGCTTGCCCAGGTTTTCTGAAGACTCGAGGGAGTTGACTCCTGTCATCTAGGCTGGACCCAATCTCCCTATCACACTGGAAGAGCAGGCTAAAAGAAAAGCCTTTAACTTTCTTCCTATAGATCCCACAGCTGTCATTACTGTGTCGTAAGAGCTTTGTTTTGTACAAAGAACAGTCATATCTAAAATCTCCATGAGGTACATGGCAACTATGCCCCTTTCCCCAGTTAAAATGATCCTTTCCAGAATCCAGCTCTATCTTCCTCAGGTTTGGTCCCATTCGTCTACCTCACCCAAGTCATTAACTCAGGGATGGGCAAGATGTGGCCTGCCAGGCCATTCTATCTGGCCCGCAGGGCCCCCCAAAAATTTAGAAAATTTATATTCATCTGCCCCTGACTGCCTGTCATGTGGCCCTTGATGGCTTGCTAAAATTCAGTAAGCAGCCCTCCGCCCAAAATAATTGCCTGCCCCTGCATTAACTACTTCATAGCTGCATTAGTGAGATAAAGATGCATCTCCAGTGATGCTCCATGTACTGGCTATATGCTTATTCAGCTAAATCCTCTCAGAACCAGAGCTCTCTCTTCCTCTCCCTCTCCCTGTATCGGTAACTGTCTCCCCAGTTCCTTTGTTCTAGTCCAGTGCGCAGAGTGGGACCAGTGAACCAATTCTGTCACAATCAATAGGCCTGTAACAAAAGCCAGGCTGAGATATTAAAATATGGACTCTGATTTAAGCCTAAATCTCATTTGTAGCCCATCCTGGGGTTAGCCCTGTTCATTTTTCAGTGCATTTTGTTCCATGCATATTTGAATATGTTAAGCTGCAGATGCAGAATGTACAGACCATTATATGCAATTTTCTTCAAGGCGTATAATGAGGTAGGATCATGCCATGAGGGCTATTAGCATGTTTTTGCAAAAATGTTGCTCTTAAAAATACAAAAGCAAATATTGAGGGCTGCATTTGCCAAGCAAGGACAAAAGTCTTTACCAAAGGCCTCAAATGGAAGAAAGAAAAAGAGAAAATGCTTGGGGGCATTCATAGAAGAGAGGAAAATTTCTCTTTTCCTCTGTTTATATTTACTTTCAGTTGTATCCACCCCATTATATGCACCATGGCTCTCTTCAACCTCGCAAAACCTCTCTCCTGGACATTAGTAAAGGAGGTCTCAGTTTGGCAAATAGCCATGGATAACAGAAAGTCAAAAAAGGAAAAATGCACATGGTGTGACTGACAAGTCTAGCCTGTGCCACACACCAAGTTGTCTTCTGCATGCCAGGCCAAACCAGAAAGAAACACAGATAATCTTCAATATTTATTGACTAGGAAGAAAAGGAAAGATGAAGGACTTACCTTGTTCACCCATCATCAGGTGCGAGAGGCCTTTGAGAAAGAGAGAGAGGAAGTGAAAAAGAAAGAACAAAAGAAATAAAGAGAAAGACGTGTGTGTGTATATATATATATATATATATATATATATATATGCATACACACATGTATTTATAGCAATCACTTACGCAACCTAATACTTCCTGGTATTAGTGCTCACATACTTCCAACAGGCTAAGTATGGATATCATCAAACATCATGCACACACACACCACTGCTTCCCAAATCAAAAAGGAAAGCTTATATCACAGGTAAAGAAAATCTGATGTCAGTTGTAAGACTGCATACCAGGATAGTTACGTATCTAAGGGGATGCTTAATCGGACTCATGTTACATAAGCTTCCAGTGAAAGCCATGTGAATTTTCTAGGGAATGGTACTCATGCTCCTTGGCAACCTAAAGTCTGGGCATAGCCCCTTGAGCTGGTCATTTAGGACTGAAGTTTGTGTTGATCAGAGAAAGGGAGGCCAGTATACTGCTAGGACTGTTCTAGATTAGCCAGTTGTGTTAACTGCACGTACACACACACAGCTGTACTCATTCATGAATGCAGCAGCTTCAACAGAGAATTTTTAGGAGTTAATAATCACCTGTCAAACCTACTAATTAAAGCCCAGAAGATCAGCATCAGAAGCAGATCTCAGAGGGACTTGGAAAAGAAATCTTGAAGCCTATTTTTAGTACCAATCCATTTTCTGTTCTTTGCCATTAACTATTGGAGATATGTCTCCAAGGGACAATGTGGGAATAACCCTAATGCTAGCCTCTGTTAGTCAGGGATGAAGCAGCAAGTGGTACAGCCACCCATCAGTGCTAGAAGTCAGAGGCCAAATCCATTTGGGGAAATGAGACAGGAGTGATTATTTCAATTACCTGCCCCTACCTTGTGAGAAACAGTAGACCCCAGCTCCAATAATTTCATTTTGGCATAAACCAAAATCTACTGCTAACCACAATGAAAAAGAAACAATCACCCCCAGCTGCAAACATGTTTGTTGTGCAGTTACATTTGTAAAATGTGAATGTAATCACAATTGCACCTGTAAATCCAGTAACCAGGTTATATAAATAGCCAGTCAGATGTCTAGGCAGCCATTTGCATGTGCAATTAACCAATTTTGCAGCAAATGCAATTGCACAATTACACTGTTGAATAGTTAAGCCCAAATTTGGCCCCAGCAAGCCTATCTCGTGTGATCCTCAACTGCTCTAGTCCAGCTTTTCTGAACTTTCACTTCTTACCTTCTCCCCATCACCTAAACAGCCTTGTCTATGTTGGAGATTCAGCTTGCTAGTCCTGTGCTAATATACACATAAACCTGCAAACACATACTTAGTTCCATTCATTATGCACGTCAAACACGGCTACTAATGGTTTGTTATTTCAAGGGGACCAAAAGGCCAAGTGAATCTATTAGAATGATTTTTCAACAAGCAGCACAATAAGTCTGAATTTGTTTATTTATATCTTTTGTAATTTTTCCCCTTGTTCTGGTGCAGGATTTGAAAGTCCAGATCAGCCCAAGATGATGTTCACCCACAGAGAACTCCATGCCAGATAAAGGGATTAATAACTATAAAGTCTAAGGAATGCAAATATCTAAATGTTCTTAAAGATTATTGTGGATTTAGAAAAACAATCACAGACACAGGATAGGTTTAGAAAGCATTTTTTCTTTACTATAAATAGCCAAATCAGATTTGTTTCAATGGGATATATCCCTTTTTTAATTAGAAGACATGATCTAATTCTATAATTTGACTTCATCAGGGAGTAGTGTTAAGTTTCTGGCTGCATTTTAACCCATTAGCACCAGTGGGCAAGTGTCATGTTCAGATGAACATCCAAAAAATCTAAGCACATAGCCCAGGGCTGCCATGTAACTACCTACAATGATACCCAGAGAGAAGATACAGACCTTGACTCCTCAGCCCTTCACTATGTCAGAGAAGAGGAAAGCAGTGACTAGGAGCTGCTTGATAGATCACCTGACAGGCCTGGCACAAAGCACAGGACATCTGGAGTGAGAAAAAGCTGGTAAGGAACTCCCTTCCAGCACTTCGATGGGCCTAGATTCTAGTATTGTCCTGGCTGGAAATATTATATAAAAATGGTTCCCTAAAGTGATTTCTGCCCTGTTCTGCTTCTGGTCAAATTCAAAATACAGGAACAGCTTATCATACAAGATTTTTCACCTGATCTTTTAGTCCCAGCTGGACACAAAAAGTGCAGAGATCACTGTAAACTAATGGCCAAAAGAAAGCATTTTTTTAACATGAAGGAAAAAGATTGGGACAGACTGCAAGAGGCAGACAGCACAGCCAGGTTCAAAGGGAACTAGACAAATTCATGGATTAATAGTTATTTATAGCTGTTGAACAGAGCACTTGAAGATATTTCCTCTGGCCTCTGTAAACCAATAATGACAGATGCCAGGGAGGTAATGAATAGGGGATAGATCACTTTAGATATATCCAGTTCAATGCCCTCCCTCTAAAGCATCCATCTTGGAGACAGGATATTGGGCTAGATGGACCAGTGGTCTGACTAAGTATGGTACTTCTTATGTTCTACAGGGGAGAGAATATTTGTTATTTGTTCTTGTGGTTTGTCCATCTATAGTCCTTACTCAGATCTTTATTTTGTAAACAGAAGGCCAAATATTCCCAACCCAAATATGAGATAAATAATTATTTCTCTCATCTGAAAGTATTCATTCCAAGCAAATAAAGGTTAGAGGAAAACATGAGTGAAATCTCTAGTGCTCTCCAATACACCATGAATATCCAGGACCCTCAAGCTCTGGGGTCCTAAATTTGTCCTACCTGCTATTTACATGTGTACCAAAGAGCTCTATTAGTTATGCTAAAAACAACCGTGAAAGAAGTCTGAACTGATATCAGAGTCTCTTGTTAAAGATCCAAATTGTCTGTTACCCTATTTTCAAGATTTGTCAAAATACATCACATTTGAGATGTCACAAATTTTTGGAATACAAAAACCAAGGTCACCCCAATGTGGTATGATAACAGATCTAAAAAGGATGTGTATACCCCAAGATTTTAATACAAGCAGTACAAGAAATTTGCAAAACTGAAAAATCAGGCTAGGTTTTGCCAGACCTCTGGGCATCCATGCAGCCACCGCTATGGTATATGAGCACCATCCACAAATGTCAGTAAATCTTTCAGCAGTCTTAGGCTGCAAAATCTCAGGGCTGCAAAATAAGGCAAGGTAGAAGTGGGAAACGGTCACATAATCCCCTATGTGCCAAATGCCATATTTTCACACATCTAGTCATTATTACAATGAACTATTTGTTTCATGTATGTGTCCCAGTGCTAGGTTAGTGCTTGTTAAAGTCTATTCAGTTGACTAAATTGAAATAAGAGCCAAACAGAGAATGACATAAAAGGGAAAAATGACTGTATTTACCCGAAAAGATGACCCTGACAACCCCCTCAATAATTAGATTTTATATAAGGAAAACATATAAATTTGTTGTAATTTTCCAGGTACATAATCTAATTATTGGAGTTTGCCTTGAATTTGTCCCCCTCCCACTGCTACAGCAGGGAAAATAAATCTGGGGGGTCAGACAACCCTTTGCTCTCTGCTTCCCCCAACTATTTCCCCTTACAGCTCCTTCCCCCTCTCCCCTCTTGTCAGACTCTGCTCTCCCTGAATACATGGAAGTGAAGAGCAAATTAAAAAACAATAACCTTGAAATTAAACATGGCTGTAGCAATTTGCATATAGTACCTATGAACTTAGTTTATCCAGAACTGATGTATGTTACCATGCTGCACTAACCTACCACAAGGATATGTGGTAGGTTCCCCAGTAGCATCTCGGCCTTTTTGGCTAAGATCAAATGTAAGATCAGAGGGGACCGCCTGAACTGCCCCTACTCTGCACCAGATGGACCTTCAGTTTTGAGAGGATTTTCCAACCACTGACAACCCTGCTCCACCCGAAGAGGACCCCCGCGATGAGACTCTATATGGACTGAGACACTTCCTTCGAACCCCTTCCTCCACCATCGCGGACCTTTGTAATGGGTTTGTGTGTATCTATCTCCTTTCTCTCTCAGCATCGCAAACCACCTCCCTCCCCTTCCCCCTTTCTCCCATCCCCTGTCCCCCAAGCTTAGATGGCTAACATTGTATGTCCTGTAACGTAGTTGCGTTCCCCTCCTCACCCCCATCCCTCTATTGTTAGTCCCTTGCTCAGACGATCTGTATTTCCCTACCGGCTTAGTCATCTTTTTTGGATTCCCAATCCTAAACATTTTCTAATAAAAGTCAATCTGTTTTTTGACCAAGGGGAGGGTGTCAGGGCTGCCCCTGGCTCTCCCAGTACCAACCCGGTATGGCAGTACCTCCAGGTCCAGTGCCAGTTCCCTGGGGAGGGAACACCCACCCATTTTTTTAAGGGCCACACAAAAAGTCTCCCATCAGCAAGTTTTCCCAATATGGGCTGCGTTTTATAGTCACGCTCAGTGTTGGCTGCTTAATTACCTTCATACTTGGTTTCCACTACTGAGCACATGCTGCTTTTTGCAGCAGTTTTATGATAGACAACATATTTGGTGAGGTTTTCTGCATATGATTATAAGCCATGGGGCTATTCTCCCCATGCTGATTGAGGGGGGACTCATCTTGTATTCAAGTAAATACAGTAGTTCAGAGAGAATTGCTCATTTCTTGTGAACAAAGATACGTCCAAGCTACAATTTGGATCTGAATGCAAACTTTTCCAAAGCCCCTGTGTATTTGGATCTCAGCATTGCCATCACAAATCGAATGAGACAGCCCACTATCCTATCTCCAACAAGGGGTAGTAGGAAATGCTACAGAAAAAAGAGGTATGTAAAAATGCAATAATGCATAGTTATAGAATAACCAGCCAGCAGAGGAAGCTTATTCCCAACCTGAGAGAGCTACTGTTTCTCTACTTCTGAAAACAAGAACTGAGTGACATTGAGGGAA